TGATTTTTGTATTTTTAGTAGAGACTGGGTTTCACATGTTGGCCAGGCTGGTCTCGAACTCTTGACCTCAGTTGATCCACTCACCTCGGCCTCCCAAAGTGCTGGGATTACAAGTGTGAGCCACCGCTCCTGGCCAAAATATTGAACATTTTTAAATGATTAAAAAAAAATTTAACTCAGGCCACAGTGTATTTCTGTGAAAATTAATTTAGTAGTTCATGACTAGGTGGGCCCCAAACTAGGAGAAAACAAGTGAGGCCTCAGGGGCAAAATTTGAGGGGGTACCCAAAACTCCAGTACTCAAATGATATTTAATGTAATGTTTTAAAATATCATTATTAATACGAAAAATCCATGGTGAACAAAACACTAAATAAAAAATAAAACAGGATCTGACCCTGTACTTGTGTGACTCACTTGCCTCACCCTATTTGCTTCACCTGGCCTCACCCTATTTGCTTCACCTTGCCTCACCCTATTTGCTTCACCTGGCCTCACCCTATTTTCTTTTTGCATTCCTTTCCTCATCTGTAAATTGAGATAAGAACAGTATCTTCATTGTTATTAGGTAATTCACTTAATTTAATTCAAACAAGGACAATTTTGATAGTGGCAAGTGGCACTGACAGACATTACAACTCTATAATGTTGACTATTGCAAAGTAAAAAAAGTTTTATCAAACAATAAAACATAGTTAAAATGGTTTTATATCATACAGAAAAATGACAAACACTCAATTATGAGCATTTAGATGCTCAACAGCAAGACTGCTCAGTCTTTCTTTCCTTTTTGTTTTATGTTTACGGAACCTGTGATTTTCCATGTTTAACTTTTTTTGTTTGTATTATCTCAATGTGTAATCTCACTTAGTTTTGTGGATTTAAAACAGTATCTGTTTGCTGGTCACTGCCAAATATACATTTCCAGATGTTATCCCTTTCTTGAGCACATATTTCTATCTAATTACTTGCTAACTCTACTGAGATGTCTCATGGGCATCTGAATTTAAGAGCATAAAAATATGACTCGAGTTCCACTCCAAATCTGCACTTGTCACAATAGTCCCCATCTTAATAAATGGTAACACTACCTACCCAGTTGCTTAAGCCAAAAATCTGTGAGTCATATTCAATTCATTTTCTCACCTCTTCACATAAAATGCATCAGCATGACCTATTGGTTTTACCTCCAAAGCATAACCACTAGAATGTAAGTTTCATCAAAAGGTTGCATTTTTTTCTGTCCTGTGAAGCAATGTATTCTGAGGATTTACACAGTGCCTGGCACATAGTAAGAAGTAAATAAATTTTTGTGGAACAAATGAAAGATTCCTGAACCTAACCACTTTCCTTCATTCTTATGACCAATACCATAATCTAAGCCATCAACATCTCCACCTATAGTTCTACAATAGCCTCCTAACTTATCTGCTGCTACTCTTGACACCACAACTATCCACTCAATAGCCTATTTGCTATATTGAAACTAACTAGTGGATTCCAATCACTTAGGATAAAATAAAGTCCTTTATACTGGCCTGCAAATAAATCTTGAAATTACCTATTCTTCAACCTCATTTTCTACTTTTTTGTCCCTCTCATTCTCTACTATATTCACAGGTTTCCATGTTTAAGCATAGTAGGTGCTCAATAAACATTTGTTGAATGAATAAATATGTATATTTAACCTGTGAGTAGTCTAATCATGACAGGAAGTGAGATTGTGCAGAAATTTGTTTTACCCCGTCTCTCTCCCTTTGAGAGCTAAATTCTCAAGTAATCTATACTTGCTTATTCCATATCCTCACCTACTTTAAACTACTGCAATCTGGTTTCTTCCCAAATGCTGATTTGAAAATATTCATGACAAGATAATCAGTAAACTCAATGGACCATTCTTCTATTTTATTAATTTTTGCTCTTCGTGTTTTTTTCACTCCTTCTACACTTTTTGGATTTAATTTCTTATTCTTCATTCTATCTCCATGAAATAGATTCTTAGATAACCAATTTTCAGCTTTCTATCTTTATAAAATGCATTTGAAGTATACATTTTTCACTAAGCATGGCTTTAGCTCAGTTCATATATTTTGATATGTACAATTTATCTTTCAATTCAAAATATTTTCTAACTTCCAATGTGAATTCTTTTTGACTCCTGAATTATTTCAGAAGTATTTGGCTATTTCCCAATTTATAGAGATGTTCTAGTTATCTTTGTACCATTGATTTTTAGCCTAATTCTATTTAATCAGATAATATGATTTCAGTGGTTTGATATTTGTTATGAAGTGCGTTATGGTCCAACTCATGGTAAATGTACCAAAATGTTTCTTCTGACTTGAAAAGTATGTGTTTACTGCATTTGAGGGTGTAGTTTGTTAATTATGTTGTTAAATATTTTATATCCTTACTGATCTTTTTGTCTGCTTTGTTTCTATCAGTTGCTAAGAGAGGTATGTTAAAATTCCTCACTATGAGTGTGAGTTTGTCTATTTCTTCTTTATATTTGTCAATTTAAACTTGGTGTATTCTGAGGCCATGTTATTCGTTGTATACGTATCTATAGTAATCACATCCCCCTATTGAAATGATCCTTTTAATTATGAAATATCTCTATTTCTAGTAATAATTTTGGTCTTAAAGTCTACTTTATCTAATATTAATGGAGCTAAACTGGCTTTATTTGGTTAGCGTTAGCATGATATATCTTTATCCACAGTTACTTTGAAGTTTTCTGTGTCTTGATATTATAGGTGTGCCTATTGGAGGCAGACTAGAGTTGAGTTTTATTTTTTAATTTAATCTGAAAATGTTTGTCTTTTAATAGAGGTATTTATTCTATTTTCCTTCACTGTATTTACAATATATTTGGGTTTAATCTACCACTTCTCTATTTGCTTTCTCTTTATCTGTCTTGTTCTGCATTCCCTCTTTCTTTTAGATTGATTTTGTCTTTTTATTATTCCATATCCACCCCCACTTGTTTGCTAGTTATACTTTTTAAAACATTAGTCTTTAATATCTGTTATTATGTAATGCCAGACATTGCTAATTGATGACAGATCTCATTCCCACAGAGCCCAGGTACAGTCTAAGAATCCTTCACACAGTAATTAAAAAATTCCCTAACAATTATTTAGAATTGTGAAGCAAAATGAAACCCATTTTCCATCTCTGGTCTAGGAGAGCATGCAGTCAGTAAGCCAGGATAGTGTTTCCTAAAGTTATCTCATCATAAGAATCACCTAGAGTGCTTATTAAGAGTACAAATTCTTGTATTCCACCCAACTTTATAAATCAACATCTGAAAGGAATTTTACTGAGAATTAGTATGTTTCAGAGGGGTCCTAGGTGAGTCTTACTACGATAAGGTAAGTTTGGGAAACCTGAGCAGTATTACCATATGTAAAAGAAGTTGTTGAAGGACTTAAACCATCCACTGAGGCGGTTGCAGCATGAGTTCTATACTGTTTTGTGTTGAAATACCATCATAATGTAAGAATATTTTCTGGGTGGCACAAGTGATCCTGAACTCTTGCTGCCATGTGCTGAACTTCTGTGAATGTGATTAAAGAAACGATAGCACCAACAAGGAGGCAGTGAGGAGAAAATTGAGAAAGGCACAACATTAAAAGGTAACGTACAGCAAAGAGGATATTTGTGCTTGTTTACTTGTTCTCCTTATCTATGGCAGGACAAAATGTTCCTGAGAGGTAGCGAAGAGTGAGACAGGGCAGCTAACAGGACAGATTTATCTCTTTCAGCCCAGAGTATGTGCAGGAAACCTTTTAGTGGATGCAGTCAGAACTCAGTGAGCTCATACCCACATAAACTCCTCAATATAAGCAATGTCTCACAACAGATATTCAGCTTTACACCTACGTATTTGCAGCATTAATAGTGACTGTGGAATATTTTTGTTTTCATTCCAACAGAGTAGCATATAACTATTACTTCACCAGCAGGATTAGTTTATCAAATATTTTTTGGAACAGATTTTGAAAAATCTCTCTATTGTACATAAAATGTTAACTTTAGTTCTCAAGCAGTATTGTTACAGGAGGTAACATTCTCCATATCAAAGGGTATGTTTCTCTCCCAGAGTTTGAAATGGAAAACAGGTGCAAGCCTTTTGATAGCCTCTACAAGACTGGGTTATAAAGCAGAACAGTGTTTTCCAAGCATGTCTGCACACCAGAATTGCCTGGGGAGCTGCACAAATACGGAGGCTGGTGCCCCTCCTAACATTGAGATTTAATTGGTGTAAGGTTGTGTCTAAGGCTTGGGATTTTTAAAATACCCCCAGGCAATTCTAATGTGCAGGCAAGTTTGGGAACCACAGGACTGGAGATCTTGAGCTATGCATTTCAAACCTCAAGTCTCTGGACAGTGTAAAGCTTAGGATTCTGCACTAAAGTTTAGTTGAGATCATAAGATCAGTCTCACTAGATTTATCATGTTGTAATCTACATGGGTATGGAATAATTTACATAAAGCCAGAGCAATTGATGAAAAAAACTCAATCAGAGCAGTGCTGTACACACACACACACACACACACACACACACACACACACACACACAGAGTCAATATTTAGAAGAACCAGGATTTTAAAGTAACTTGGTCAAATTGAGTATATATCCCCAATTAGAGTTGCTCGATAAATACAGGGAGTCTAGTTACATCCAAATTTCAGATAAACAATTTTTAGTATAAGTATGTCCCATGCAATATTTGGTATGTGCTTATACTAAAAATTGTTTGTTGTTATCTGAAATTCCAGTTTAACTCCATGACATGTATTTTTATTTGCTGAATCTGACAGTCCTCCCCAATTTTAAAGGCCTAAGCTGAGCACTAAGTCAGTGTAGTAGGACAAATCAGAACAAAAATTAACCTTGGCTTCTTGCTTATTGTGTGCTCTTCTGTTTTCTGAATTATATTGCCTGGCTAACCAACTCAAGCTGTACATTGTCTGAACTGAGGGGCAATCATACCTTATTCTGCCTCTTCTGTCTTCTTCGGAGGCGCAGGAACTCCTTGTGTTGCCTGGAGACAAAGTTCACCGCTGCGTATTCCAGTAAGGCAGCAAACACAAACAGAAGGCACACCGCCATCCAGATGTCAATCGCTTTTACATAGGAGACCTGAGAGAGAGACACACACAGAGACAGAGAGAGAGAGAGAGAGAGAGAGAGACTATGAAAGCTTGCCAGAAAACCAGATTCTTAATGGTGTGAGCAGCAAAATAACCTAATTTCCTTGGTCAAGGATTTTCCAGCGTTTTCTTAAGAAAGTGCTTAAGCCATTGATTCTACTTTGAAGATTCTGGGCAGAGCACTGAAAGTCACATGCCCCCGAACCAGTAGCTTTATTCCTGAGACCGGGTCCAAAGATGACTTCAAGAATTTCCTTAATGACAGTAGATTTTAAGTGTTCTCACTACAAATAAATATGTGAAATAATGCATATGTTAAGTAGCTCAATTTAGACACTCCATGATGTGTACATATATTGAAACATGTTGTACACCATAAATATATACAATTTTTACTTGTCAATTAAAAATAATTATTCTCTTAATTAAAAAAAGAAAAATGAAACTTTGAGGCAAAATAGATGGGTGCTATTATTAAAACTGCTCACTTCTATTTTTTTAAATTAACGTTTAAAAACCAATATGATTAAGATAATTTCAAAACATGGATGAGAAATAAACTATGTATGGCCTTAGGCTCTTCAGAAGCCAATTTGTAATTTTCTTCAATTTACTGATCCTAACTGACATGAAAACACAGTTCTAAATAGTTTTAAATCCTCACAATTTAAGAGTATTCAACCAAAGTAAAATATCAAGAATCTAGCCTTGAGAAGGTATCTGGTTAAAAAGAAAACTTTGATAACCCTTCAGTGTTTGCTTAAGTGTTTAGTAAGTCTTATAATTTGACAAAGTAGATTCTGAAAGCAAATACTTTCTACTTGCAATGGAAAATGCCCCTCATTCTCTCAACTTAAAATTATTTTTTCAACTGTAAAAGGGAAAAATAATTGGATGAAGTTACAAAGTATTGCATCCTGGACTACAAAGAATACTTACTAAACTACCATCTGAATGTGTACAATCCAGTTCTAATTTTTAAATAGTTTCCTGTATTTTGGTATTTGTCAAGTGCTTGCCAGCCAGTATTTTAAGCATTTTATGTGTGTGAATTTTTTAAGCCTTACAACAACTCATCCCAATTTTCTGATGAGAAAACTGCGGTATGAAATTATTACCCAAGGTCACAAAAGTAATAAATGACAGAGTCAAGATCGGAACTGGAACTCAGTCTGACTAGTGGATTTCCTTTCCGAACACACACAAACACATTGTTAGGATCATAGTTTGTATCTTTGCATTTACCTTTGACCTTTATACTGAGCATTTCCCATGTTATTTATTTTTCTTCTAGATCATAATTTCTAATGCTTGCCTAATGGTCTATACCATGATTAAACATTCACATTGTAAGACATATAGGTTACTTTCTATCTTATATTTTATGACTATAAATGTTGCTGTTACAAACATTCTTCTCCCAAAATATTTGACTGTGTCCCTGATTATTTGTTGGATCAACTTTTAGGTGAGTTACAGAAGTAAAGATATGAAAATAGGCTCTTGAATTAGAAGGTTTGCAGGAGCACAGTGGACATAAAAGCAGAGATTCTGGAGTAAGATGCCCCAATTAAGAAATGCTGCTCTGCTACTATCTGTATAATTCAGTTATGTTATATAACCTCTCTCTGCCTCTATTCCTCATCTTTAAAATAGGAACAATAATAGTACCTACCTCATAGAGTTGTTAAGCGGATAAAATCACTTAATATACATAAAGATTTTAGAATAGTTTCAAACACAGAATAAGTCCTTATAAATGTTTGCAATTATTTGGCCAGAGAAGGGTGTGATTTTGTGAATGGATAAATTTTGGAAGGAACAAAAATTAATAAGGAACATAAAACTCACCCACAATCATAATATATTCTAATTATTATTATTATTATTAGAGACGGAGTCTCGCTCTGTCGCCCAGGCTGGAGTGCAGTGGCCGGATCTCAGCTCACTGCAAGCTCTGCCTCCCGGGTTCACGCCATTCTCCTGCCTCAGCGTCCTGAGTAGCTGGGACTACAGGCGCCCACCACCTCGCCCGGCTAGTTTTTTTTTTTTTGTATTTCTTAGTAGAGACGGGGGTTTCACCGTGTTAGCCAGGATGGTCTCGATCTCCTGACCTCGTGATCCACCCGTCTCGGCCTCCCAAAGTGCTGGGATTACAGGCTTGAGCCACCGCGCCCGGCCTCTAATTATTGTTTTTAAGATCACCACCTGCCTTACACTATTTGTCTAAAACAATCCGAAGTACTTGTGTCAGTTCCACATGTATTGTGACAAAATGATCTAGCACTTTGTTATCTCCAGTCCTTGAAACATTATTCTTCCTACCTGGGATGGTTATTCCCACTCCTTCTGATTAATAGTCGCCTCAGAATTCTTTAGGACTTCGCTGAGATATCAGTTCCCCTGGGAAGCGTCCCCAACCTTTCTCCTTTCTCTCATCTGAGTTAGGGGCCACGTTTTTTTGTTCCCTTATCACTCTCTATTGAACTTATCTGTTCCTGCTTTGCCCACTTTTTACATGGAAGATGTCCCTCATCTCACTCAACTTACAATTTTATATACATATACAAATTTGTATATATATATACAAATTTATATATCTATATATACATATACACATATATGTGTATATATATATTTGGAGATGGTGTTTCACACTGTTGCCCAGGCTGGAGTGTGTGTGTGCGCGCATATATATGTGTGTGTGTGTATGTATATATACACACACACACACACACACACATTTTGAGATGGTGTCTTCCACTGTTGCCTAGGCTGTAGTGCAGGGGCGCGATCTAGGCTCACTGCAACCTCTGCCTTCCAGGATCAAATGATTCTCCTGCCTTAGCCTTCTGAGTAACTGGGATTACAGGCACGTGCCACCACACCCGGCTAACTTTTGTATTTTTTAGTAGAGACAGGGTTTCACCATGTTGGCCAGGCTGGTCTCAAACTTCTGACCTCAAATGATCTGCCTATCTCGGCCTCCCAAAGTGCTGGAATTACAGGCGTGAGCCACTGTGCCCGGCCAATTATATTTTAAAGTATTCCCTGACCCTACTCTTAGACTGTAGGTTTATTTTTTTTGTTTTTGTTTTTAGTTTAGGCCCTGTGCAGTATTACTTTGTATCACCAGCACAGGACCTAGCAAATAGTGCAAAGACAGTAGTTATGTGGGATGGATAGATGGATTGGTGGATAAATACATGGTGGATGGATCGATGATGGATAGATGGACTGATGGTTGAATGACTGACTGACTGACTGACTGAATGAATGAATGAAAGAGAAGGAAGGGAGGAAATATCTAGCTATTTTTGCATCTTTGTGCTTTAAACAGTTATGAATGATATACTGTTACCCACAACTGTATATATTTGATACTTCTAAGAGTGGACTATTAGTGAGTTTTTATTTTCTCAGCTCGCCTAACATTCCTGGAACATTTGCTTCCTTAATAAACAATAGTTTGTCTTGTATTTGCTCTTCTGGAGCAATTCTATTTTCCTGTAATAATAGAACATTACCAATCACAGCATTTCCAGTTATATATTATTCAGATGGCCCATAAATGTTTTAAGACCCAATAATGAGAGGAATGTGTTAATGCCCGAGATATATGCATACCAAGAGCTAAGTCCAATAGAGCTGACCATCATTCCTCCTCTTCCTAGTGTTTATAGCATTCAGTAATTTATACACCTTTTCTCCATCTTCTTCTAGCAATCAGCAGACCAAGCTCATATTTGGCTTCTTTTATAGCTGCTCATAAATGAGTCCTTCCAGTCTTTTAATCATTTTGGTTGGTCTCCGAGTTTCCTCCAAATCATGAACATCTTTCCAGCATTGAAGTGCTGGCATTAAATGCATTATTCACATGGATTTAGAGGGTGTTGTGAGACATCTATCACATATGATGTGATGTTCCTTGGTGCTGGTTTCTCAGAACTGAAATGCCTTTTTGTTGCTTTT